GGCTTTGACAAGCTGAAGGCTCTGGTTGTGCAAGGATTCAAACCTATCTCGGTAGTACTCACACAAGTATTTATCCTATAATATAATGTTGCATCAGACTGGTACGACTGCGTAGCAGCTGAATGCTCACTCTTTATTGCAGGGAGGAGCATGAGGCATTCATTCATTCTTTCGACCTGATTTGACCGCTGTACACATCACTGCATGCACAAAATCATTACAGCTGTCCTGTGTCTGATCATGGTATGTCACACAAAAAGATCATATCAAAATCTATGACCTATCCTTGCCACGAAAAAGGTCAGCATGTCTACAAGATCGTGACCCAGAGCCCTCCCCCCCCCACCCCCAAAAAACAGCTAACAGCTTCTCTCTGCTCTACTGATTACAGCTATTCTTATAAATATTCTTGGAATAACTCAGTGTAACCAACAAAGAGCATTGGACAATTGTTTCGTCCTGTTTGGGACTCGTCAGCAGTGCGTACTTTTTGTGTCCCTGTTAGGACTCGAAACGCGATCAGTTGGGTCGGGACTTCAAACCCTTACCCTTTAATAGGCACTAAACAGTGCCTGGTGCTTGTGAACAATCGAATGGGCTGATCCAAGCTTGATACTCTAAACTCAGTGTAACATTTCCAATCTTCCCGACCAGTCAAATCTCCAGGAGTGTTCGCATACCATTGGCTTAAATAGGGAAGGACTTGATTAGGTTGAGGAAAAACTGATCTCATCCGTTCGTATGTGTGTGTGTGTGACAGCAGTAACCCATCAACTGGGAAGACAATCATGCAAATGCATGCGAACAGAAGGCCTGCAGGCGACCGAATAAGAAAGGAACAGACAGAGAAAAAAAAGGCCACATTCAAGGAGAGAACACTATGCGTGTGAGATACATTTTTTCCAGACCAGATCAGTGATTTCATTTTACGGCACATAGATTACTCGATCCAACTTATTCCTTCGTACTCTGAAACTGAGAGTGATGTTAACTGTCTAATGATGTTGCTTCATCACTCTGCCTGCCGATATCCGGCGACTATCTGTCAACTTCAATCACAAATTAGAAAAAGGGACAATTTCAATCATCGACACAACGAGAAATGGAGTCACTCCCGGAGAAGAGAACATTAAAACAAAAAATTTCTGAGCTAATTACTCCGGATGGTGTCCAGCTAAGCGAGGGGATCAGTGCAACTTGGTGATCCTAATATGCATCTAGCATTTTAGTTTCAGCTCCTACCTGATATAGACCAATATGTAAAACAGCGTTCTGCATCTTGTCAGATAAAAATATGCGTCTATCTCCCCCTCCTCCTCTCCGCGCGCTCCATGTCTTTCGAATTTTCCTCAACCATTCAGACGCCATCCCGGAAAGTGGAAAGTGCACCTCGGGACAGTGATTTTGGCGATCTGTCTGTGACCAAACAGTCATCGAGGGTACAAGACCACGACGAAAGCAAATCACTCAGTGACACGGTCCATTGGTGTGGCCCATATACATATTGCACAACATCTGACCAAGTCACGTGACCACTAGTTCAATTGGTCTGTCAGAGCAATTATCATAAACACAAAGAAAACCGAGAAGAGGTGTACTCACAGAGTACAGGTAGGAATTGGATTCGGATTTGAGGACGTTCAGTGAACGAAGTAAGGTGAAGGACAAGCGAGTGGTGGTGGTGCTGATGCTGGTTAATCTTATGACCAATGTGGGTCATGCATATACTTTTTGTCGGGAATGACTACTCAAGAGAATCAATCACATGGGGCCCATAGCGAAAGTTTGGAACAGGTGCACTGAGATGAAACTAGCCACACACACACCCCTGTAAAGAAAATTAATCTCCTTTGATGTGTCACGTGATTATCCATTGACCATCGGGACGAAAAAGCTAGGACATATTATTCTACGATTGATACAGTGCTTCTTAGAACACCTAAGTAGTACTAGGTCAAGATTTACCATGTCAACAACCTTTCTGATAGCTAAGTGGCAGGGTGTCAGCGTGATCAGCATGTTGAACAGCATCAGTAGACATAATAATTTAACTCAAAGCTCAAAGTGAAAATTCGTCGTGTATATGGCAAATGAAGTGTGAACTGAAAAGCTAGAAGGCATTGGGCAGCTGTTTCCACCTGGTCGGGTCTCATCAGCGGTGCGACTCCATCGACCCGACTGGGGATGGCGAACCCGGGACCTCATGAACAGAAGGCAAGTATACCATCCACTCGGCCACCGGGCAGCTGATCAGGCCGTTTATCGCACTGCTGATGAGAACCACTCAGGTCGAAACAGCTATCCAACAGTGCTTCCTAACTTTTCAGTTCACACTTCATTTGCCATATACGTGACTAATATCCACTTTGAAATGGAATAAAATCCTCAATTATTCACATGAATCAAGTATTATTCTTCACTAATGTCTAAACCGTTTATCAAATTATCCGTTTTCTGTGGCCATTTTGATCGAAGACCAATGGAAAGTAGTGACGTAATTCCCAGGCTATAAATGTACAAAAGTCAAGGTGGATGGAAAAATGATCAGTAGCATGAAAGAGAGAGAGAGTTCCTGACCAGATGACGAAAACAGTAGTCTACTGTCGGAAAAAGTAGCATAAAACTGATAGGACGGACTATCAATCAACCAGTCAAATTTTGAGCACAACCCAGGAACGCAATCAAATCGGTGTGAAAATAACGAAAGCAGTAATCTGTTTACCAAAAGTTTCCGACCACCACTCTCTTTGTAAGTCGATTGTGTGGTCATAGTATGCGATTTACGCGTATCGCCGGATCTGTTCCCACCGGTCGAGGTGCGGTCATTTGTGTCATTTAGATCGGGCTGCTCGGCAGCACGGTGCGAACGGTGCTGAACTCGTGCCAAACCGTCGGTAACAGAGACCACGGTGGAAGTGACTTTTTCGTCCGGCTTAAACGGCCAATCACCACTACCACCCTCCGGACCACCGACACCGCTGAAATTTGCGCCATCCTTTGTTCCTCGTCTTTGCAGATAGTGTGGGTGTGGATTCTGTCGGGCGAGCGAAGCGGACCTTCGAGCTGGGGAGGAGGACAGCGGTATACAGCCGGACGGTCGACCGGTTTGGATCGTGGTCCGTTCGTGCGGTCTGCTTTGAGCTGCCGTGACATACGGTCCGCATTCGGTAAGCATCGAATCAACCGAAGCATTGTGCGAAGGGGGATGATTGATTACCTCTGGGGATAAAAAAAAGCAATAAAGGAGAGTGTGATTAAAATTGTGTTCATTGGAAAGTTGTAAATTAGCGCGACGCTATAGGAGGAGAAGTAGAAAGTTGTGAGTTGAGCAGTACAGAGTAAACGTCCGATGCACGTTTGAATGGAATCACTCAGCATCGATTAGTCATCTTCCTCATCCTCATCCTCATGATCAACAGTATCCAATAAAAACTAATCTCTCGTTCTGAACTGTCAGGGCAGGGAGGAATGGTCCAGGAGTGAGCGGGGCTGGGGGAGGGAGTGTAAGAGACGTGTGGTCGTCCTCGACACAGTCTGAATGAATTCTTCTTGCACAGCGATAAGCAAGAACGAAAACGGGAAATTGGACTAGGAAAATTATAATCATAATAATCAGCCACACAAAAATCCGTTTGGCATACCTGGGGAAATCGTACACCCCAGAAGAAAGATTGCACACATTTTACGAGNTAGCGCGATCTGAAGACATCCGGTATTGGCCGTAATATCTGGTTTAAACTAACATGGAAAATGAGGACTCAACAAAACAATTTGGGCTATTCAATTTTCCCAAACGGAGCAAGAGAAACAAACATACGGAGTGGCTTTCGCATTCTGTAGACACACTTATCATGCTAGTGTACCAATAAAAACTAGTATGGACTGGATCCTTGTCTGTGATGAATGAGAAACATGTGACCTAAGCCATTTCTGCATTTCTGCTTGGTCAATGAGTCTGCAACTTGGATGATAGATATGCTGCAGATAATTTCACTCTAGAGAATGTATTTTCTTGGTTTATCGCGTAACCAGCTAATACACGATAGCACTGTGCGCTGTCAATACCCCAGACACATCTCAACTAAGGATAGCATGCCATTTGTGCAGATCGTTGGTGGAATACCACTATCCATTTATCGAAAAGAAGAACACCATCACTGGGTGCGAGGGGACGTCCACTGGACATAAAATCGCACACGTGCACACCTTCTACGAGGGACGAGGTGGGGCGTGTGTGCAAGGGCTGCCTGGCGAATAGTTAGATGGCGGTGATCGGTCGGATTCGAACTCGAGCTTCATTCAGTATAATGAACACCTTATCCACCTGAGGACGACCACCTTAATGGTATGCTTTGAATGAGCCAATTGCACATTAAAAAAGAAAGTGGAACGACAATCTGTTTAGGCAGATACACTGTCCTCATTTGATTGTAAGGGAAAAATCGACTGGTCTTGTACAATCAGTAAACAGAATCAGTGCTCGACCAAAACAATGTGTAATTCAAAATTCTTCAACGTGGAAAATTCTGGGACACCCAGTGGGCATACACAACTTCATAGTTCAATGGGCGACCGGATTCTGTGTGGTTTGATTTTTGGCCAAAACAAAAACAAATGAAGACCACTTTTTTGACCGTGTGCAATCACCTCTTTCCACATGTGGCACCTCGTACTTTTAGGTCCAATTTGGGGAAAGGTGGGTATGCATACACATTTGAGAGAGAAAAAAAACAATAACGTCAAACATGCCCAAACGGATGTTTTCTTGAAAAAAATAATAATGAGAAACTGGGGCAAAAAGAAACCGAAGCCCGGTGAATGTCAAGCACCCTCGTAGTCACGATTTGTCAAAACCAGCATCCCAATTCGGAATGGAACCGATTGTGCACAATCAGAAAATTCCCCGGTCTTGTTGAATCCCAATGAAACCTGAGGCGCCAGCAAACACACACACACACAATGTTTTACCGGATTTTCCTGACCACCATGTGACAATGTATGACGATGCATTTGGACAGGAGCTACATAATTGACTAACCGTGACAATTTATAAAACGCTCATTTATGAACGAGCTCAGGTGGGATGATAAAAAACAAGCAAGTTCACCACTATCGTCACCGCATGACCAGGGTGGTGATGATCGTTTGTTCGGATAATATGTACTTTTATGATGCGGGGAACTGGCGCGCGAGACAAAAGTCAATCGAAACCCGATATGGCATGACATTGAGGGGTAGAGGAAGCGCACTGAACCAACAAAAAAGTGACACATTGTCTGTGTGTCACGCGAGCTGGATAGTCCATGCCCCAAGTAGCACATTTAAGTGTACTGTGTAAAATGTAAAATGCACATTCAGTGAGCAATTCACTGAAACAGTCGCCAGAGTGGCAACTTTAAGTTGATCAGAGGTAGATTTTCCATCACACGGCTAGACGTGAGGAGCGCTCAAATCACCTCTTTTGTTGAATCTAGGTGCAAGTTAAGCCAAACGGTTTCAAGATTAGTTTGCCGTTTGAGATTTCAATCTGCTATAACAAAGGCATGATCGATAAGGTACGGACAGGATTCCGGTATGTTTGCTTATCCACTGAACCCATTGTTGACCCTCGAGAAACAACTGTTCTGTGCAACGATCCGTTTTGAATACATTCCGCACATCTCTTTCATCTTCCGTTCTGAGATATGGGGCCTAATCTCTCAGTGACATATTCGCATCATTTTTTTAACACAACCTTAACAAGCTGCTCCATGCCGATCTGTCGGAAACCAAAAGCAATTATTCCCATTTCCAAACCCTGTACTTCAAATGTTCTAACCAAGCGCTTCCGTCCTATCGCTTTAACGTCTGTTGGACTTAACCTAGCGGAACGTGTTGTTCTTACGCACATTCAGTACTCAATTGATGTCCCATATGGTCCTCTTCAGTTTGCTTATAAACCAAACAGATGCACGCTAGATGCAGTTTTCTCACTTGTACATACAATTACCAAATCCTTGAATGACTGCGAAATCTGTTCGTTGTGTGTTGCTGGACTACTTCTCTGCTTTTGATTCTATTCATCGTTCCATTCTTCTTCGTATACTGGAGACCTTCGGTTGTCCTGGACAGTTATTAGCTTGGCTTACCGATTACTTCTCAGGGAGAACTCAGTGTACCAGGTTAAATCGAAAGAGATCCAAACCGTTGTTGAACAGCTCTGGAGTACTCCAAGCTGCAGTTCTCTCCCCATACTTATTTTCTACATATATTAGCGACTTGTCTGCTTCTCTCTTCAAGTATGCTGACGATGTGGTCTTGTGTCAGGCCATCTCCGACCCTTCTGGTCTTTCATAATTTTCTGACAACTTGGATAACGTCCAACGGTTTTCTGCCACATCGGGCCTATTTCTTAATCCCTCCAAATGTTTCCAATGTCTCTTTACACTATCACGCTTTTCTTTCCCATCTGAACCGGTATCGATTGACTCTGAACCAGTATCCCGGGTAAACTGTATAAAATACCTGGGTGTTTTTATTGATACTGATCTTCACTGGACCTCTCACATTCAACACATCGTCAGTAAGCTTCGACGACTTTCTTTTCACATCCGTAAACTTCGTTAGTTTCGTATTCACGAAATCAATTATTTCCAAATTCGTGTACCAGTGTGCTTTCCCTGTTTCACTTTATTGTTCACGTGTTATTTTTCCCAACCTCCTTAAGAAAGATTTTAATTTTCTTCGACGTGGATTGGCCATCATTAACCGCGTTTCTTCAATCCCATTAAAGGAGTTGATAACTAACCTATGCGAACGTCATTTGAATGCAGGTGAAAAGTTTGCGCATAAGATTCTCATCGACTCCAGACATCCGCTACACGCTGACCTAACTTCTTGTTGTTCCCATCCCTCAACTAAATCACAATATCCTTGTGTTCCCTCGCGAATAAATGTACATCGTAACTCCACAGTACCCTCAATGGCACA